ACCGCTTTGACGCTTGAATGAGATTTTCAAATCTCAAATACCTTAACCTCTATCATCACTGAAGAATCTTTAATTTGCAAATGCACATTTAGTCCACTGAAAGTGGTAATGTAAAATTCAATGCAACAACTATTCCTTCATCTATGAGATCGAGATACAAGATCTTCACAGAAAGTTAAATTATTCAATCTTATTACGATTTTACTATTTGAACTATATCCTATCGACAGAAGCTAGTAGTTAATTAAAGGTTGCATAGCGAGTGAGACGTCAGACGCCAAATGTAAGTTAATGATATAGCTTGATATTAACTCGAGTTATTTAATTTTAAAGTAATGATAAACGATCCATCGGCGAGTTTATTATTACTATTCAAATTAAATAAAGAGAGTTGATATCGAGCGATATCCAACTTTCACGAATTGTTAATTTCATTTTCTCATTTTTTCAACATTTTCATTGTGTTAAATGAAAAATTCCGCGAAATGTTGATCTAGTCTTTGCACATACCAGTATGACGCCATATGCCTTTTTTTGGAGTCAAACTTTAACATCAGACATTTCAAAACTTTTTGTACGCATTAGAATGTAATGAAATGTGACAAAAAGAAGATTTTCAGGTTGAAAGTATTGAATGAGTATTTTGTATATCATTGAAGAAATCATATATGTCCGTTGCCATGGACGAAATGTCGTCTTAACCCTTGAAAGTCACCAATGACCTGACGAATTGGTAATGGAAATGTCGTAATGAAGTCTTATGATGCTGAATAAGCCAATCAAATTAACGCAGTTTTCATACCACTTTTTTCGTATCACACTTCGTGCAGTGTGATACAAGATATATCGTTTATTCATGCATGAAATAGATAACAGGTCACAACCAAACGAGAATGTCACATTATAACGGATCTGCCAATTTTCGAACAATACAATATCATTATATTGCTTTTAACATCCCACTTATAATCTTGTGATGCATTATGGTGATATTTATTTACGTATAAGATGAGAGCCATATTTGAAATTGAGTATTCCAAATCAATTAAAATTGGTGTACCATGGTAAAATGTGTTTTTTTTTACAAAATAATATTGTATTATAGATAGATACCATGCATTAAGGAGATCCTTTGCGAACAGAATAACCAACGCGCTGTAGTTATAAATTTAAAAAAAAAAGAGTTACTGGTTTATCTATTTAAATGTTCACCATGAAACCACCAAGTGTAATTGAATATCATGTTTCGCATCCACAATCCGAATATTAAAAGCTATGATTGTAGATTAAACATCAATATGATGGTGTATCTAACAATCAAAATCTTTAAATCTATAACTATTTACAAACTTTATAAGGTATTCAAAAACAACAATTGGCTTTTTTTTGCCTTAACCTCATTCTTACGTTTGTCAATTGAGAAGTATTCAAATGTTGCGGCAATGTGTTCGAATGTCACCTAATACGTGTTAAAAACAATTTATTTGTACATCAAATCTTATTAGGCATTCATCATGGCTTCCATATAGGTTAAACTTACTTTTACAAAATCAATCTAGTGTTTATGTAGGAATTAGAAATGAAATTAATATATTACGGACGAGTTATTTGAGAGTTTCATTACATAAATCACATCTTTTATTGGAGTTAGAACGATTTAACAATATTTTGATGACTTTTGATACCTTTTTGTTATGATCCTTTAGCAGTAACGCATACAACTTTAAACGAGTAAACAATCAGGCTGACATCTACCGTTTAAATCAGTAGTTTTTAATACTCTAATGATTGCTAAGTTAATGGTCTTTCTTTTAAAAATAACACAAGAACCTAATACTTGAAGATCTTATTTTTTAGTTATGCAACATTGTAGTTAAACTGCAAAACGACTCCTCATTTTACACCATTTCTGTGGCATTACTTTTGCAAAACAAAACATTTATTGAAAAATATTTAGCAAGCATTCGTTTTGTAAGTCTTAAAACCATATTCAATTATGCACAAACATGCATATAAAATTGTCATTTCGGTTGGTCAAATAGTATTTAGAACACATGTATAACTCGGACTTTTTCACTTAAATTGCAAAATGTTTGAAAATAATTTTAATGGAGAATGAACCACATTTGTAGTGTCAGGGGCATACCTCCTCGTAGTACTCTCAAAAATATATAGAACATCAAAGATTATTTAGAGAGTTTTTCACAATTTCTAGTGTAAAATTTGATTATTTTCATATATTAAAACGAGGAATATAACAACATAGTTGTGTAATTATATTCAATAAAAAATATTTTCATTTTCCATTAGACGAAACTGTACCCCAAGATATTCAAATAAACTATTCTCTCTCTCTCTCTCTCTCTCTCTCTCTCTCTCTCTCTCTCTCTCTCTCTCTCTCTCTCTCTCTCTCTCACTGTGTGAAAGTTTGTGATCGAACTTGAAAAACTTATTTAAACATGCAAAAATTGTATTGTTAAATGTTGTATTGCTTTAGAATTGTGTATTATTTTTTTAAATTACTGATCAGAAATCAGTTGCTAAAATAAAAACTTGACCGTTTAAACACTTACATGAACATATAACATTATACTGTTCAATTAAATGTAACGTTTTCGACTATTGTGAAACTGATTTGTGAATTTTTTTTCAGTCAATTCGATTTCAGAATCTTCTCTTCAAAGTATAAGTTGTGAATATTGAATGCACACACACATGTACGTACAAAATTGTTTACCGTATAAACGCCATCTGTCAACATTAAAGGCGAGTTTTACATGAAGTCTATGCAAATATTTTCCAGTTGATCACTCAAACGCAGACTGTAATACACATAGGGATACTTATTGTAGTATGATGCGACAAAAACAACCAAAACTTGTTTGTGCAATTTTGCTTAATGTATGTGACATTCATGACCGTCACTTAATCGGGACAGTCTTCAATCAAGAAACAAATGAAAATAAAAATAAAATGATCCGATCTATATGACATTTTACAGAATTGAAACTTGTCATGTTTATGTGTAAAGATAATGTTTGAAAACTTAAAAATGGCGGTTGTTATGAGAAAATTATAAGATCGCGGTGACTTTTGCTTCAGCTTCAAAATTGTAGTTCTCCGACTACACTCGTTCAAGGCAGTTTTAAAAATCACAATCCTGATGAACCAAAAGTGTTTACAGTGTGTCAGACCTACATTGTGCATTTACTATTTTTTTTATATTTTATTTGTTCATTTGGATCTGTTGAGTGGTACTTTAATGTGTTTTATTTTTTTTGATATATAGATAAGGGGCTCGTTATCAATTCATAGATTTGCAAACGGTTATATATTACAAACCCGTTCCCCCTTATGATTCGCAAAATGAATGGTAGATAAAAAGGTACAAAGATAACAAACATTCCGTTCACGTGATAGGTCTTATTACAATAAATTAAGCATGACAAATCTTAACCTTTTACAAAATTTACATACTACTTCGTTATGGATTTTGAAATTTGCCGTAATTTTTCTGAATAACTTTGATCGTTGTTATATAAGAGAAAATTAAAACTAAATATAGTTACTTTAAGATTTACACCGTGTGAGCCTTATATCAATCTTTTTCGAATGAAGGAATACGTTCGTTTCATAAATGCATTTAGTTTTTGCCCAAAAAGAAATCAATAATTTTATCAAAATTACAATACTCCTAACGTTAATGTTAGGTGAGTTGAAGTTATTGCACAACAACATTTACATTGAATTAATGGTCATAGCATGACTACAGTTTGAAATGGCATTCATCTCTATTTTTCCTTGTTGCTTGACATGCAAAAGCGTTGATTTATTTTAATATAACAAAACAGCTACCTCTCAATTACTAGGGAATGAGCAATGAATCTTAACTTACTGAGTAGTGATCAGTCAGATGTCGTTTTACAGATCAAGTTAATGTATATCTTCGACTTTTTTAAAAACAATTGTATTGTATACACAAATAAACCAGTAATGCTATACCGAATAATGTTATGACAAATATAATGCCACTATATTAATGGTCATCGGAAATGATAAATGAAACCACAAGAAACAAATATATCTATGTCCTAACATTACACATATTTACAGATCTGACGACTATCTATAGATTTTTATGACCTCGATCATATTTCTCGTACGAATTGAAACACATACAAATCGTATCAATTACCAATTTGTGTTGGTGACCGTAAAACTTGTTTTGCAAAGATTCATACAATATGTACCTTTGTCAATGACTTTCCACATCAGTAGATGTTAAGTCATTTAGAAAAAATTGTATATAGAATTTGTGAGGTATTTTACATGTTTAAGTGGCAGAGGTTCATATATGCTATTGCTTTTTTGTTGATTTAAGCTCATTCATATGTTTTAGAACCGTGTAAAAAATTGTAAGCTACGGTTATTACACCTTAATTAGCTATAACAAAATTAACAGCAAAACGTATAAGCCTTTGCCTTAAATAACGTGCACTTATTATATAATAAAATTATTCTGAATACGTCTTTGTAACGTTTATGTATGAATATACTCCAAATAATCTCCTGAACGACACCAATTGTTAAAGCTGATTAATTGCACAAATCACATTTAACAAGCAAACGAAAACTACATAAAAAAAAATTTCGGTCATAAAAAGTGTAAAGTATGATGATTGCACAAGTTAAACACTTTATTTATAGTTGGTAATTTTCGTGCATTTGAAATAATTTATGAGATGAACTTTTATCGAGAACGCTCAATCCCAAAACATCCCAAGCCAAGTCCATCAATATCACTAAGAGGGACCTTAAAAAAAACCCTTAGCCACTTTAGGTCAACTTTGCCTTAGGATTCTTAATTTATAAGTTCATGAACAGAGAATTAGTATAGGTAACATATACTTGATCTTTTAACACGTTTTACATTCTTATTTTTGTGTAAAATTGCATACAACATATTTTCTACACCTAAGACATTTAAAATTATAACTTACCTCGTCTGTACTCAGGAACCGACTGTTTAATTCTTAGGTGGAATATCAAGTATCAACGTGATCTGATTGGCTCAAACAAAAACAAAACGTTAACCTAAAATGAATAATGCATTTACAGCAAAATAAAAAACATGTAACGACCGAGGATAATTTTATTAGCAGAGCTAAATATGTATCTTACCCTTGGTGCAATTAAGATATGCATCAAAGCAGGTTTATTGGTATGACATATAGTTGATACTTTATAATTATATCAGGTGATCAAAATTCATAAAGACTCAAACGGCAACTGTAAATGTTAAGAAATGTTTAACTCGTGTCAATTTCATGGCAACAATTTTACTTCCTCGACAGAAAATAGGAGCATAATCTAAAGAATAAACCTATATTCAAAAATTTAATTTAGAACTTGCGTCTATTTCAAATAGATGTTAAACGCAAAAGTTCGAATAGTATATGTACATCCAACTCGATAAATATGAGAGGTACTATATGGGACAAAAAGACAACATTCTTGGCAAACGTATAAAATTAGAATACGACTATGTTGAAATAAATCTGTATGAACAATTACTTTGAGGTATTTCTATTCAGCAATATGCCGTCAATTCTATATTTTCAAAATAATTTCGAATTGAACTGTAGTGCGTTAAAATGGAACCTTTGAGATTGTCCCTTGGTTGTAGTGTTATGCCCTTTTCTTTAGGTAGTCATGTAGTGTCGTTAATCAAATTTTCAACAGCCTCAATAATGTTCGAAAATACACAAACACGTTATCACAGAAGAACAGGATGAAAAATAAAATGATGTAGTATAATTGCGAATGAGACATCTATTCACCCGAGGTTATTTTCACAATACATTTAACAAAAACTAAAACTCGTTAAATATGATGATGATCAATTCTGTATATAAGTAATTTACATTTCCAAAGCACATGAGGTAATCCCCTATTCATGAAGGGGTTGCATTTTTTAATTTTAAGTTTACTGTGAAGTCTTTTATAGTGTGGTTCTAGTTGGAAAGTCTTTAGTTTTCTTTGATGTGCTCTGTGTACTTTAGTTTGTCTTTGGACGTTTTACCTTTTTTTTCCATGGCAGTGTCAGTTTGTTTTCGACTTTAATTCAAGTATCACTTTGTGATCTTTCTCCTCTCTTTTGAAAGACGGTTGTGATTGGTTTTGTTTTCGTCAGTTTTGTGGTTATAATATTATCTGTTTTCTTCGACTTATGGTTTAGTTTTGAACCCTTGCTACTTAATCTATTTTTTATCAGTATCAGCAACGAAATATATCGCTTGTTCGATATCAATATCGTTGACAATATTTTATTTGCAACATTTAGTGTTGAAGTGTTTTGGTCTGTAATGACTCGTCACTCAAAATGGAAAACAGTTTGAAAGTGGTAACAATTGTTAAATTCTTCCAACGTCATCCTTTCCTTTTATAATTCTTACACACAAGCCAAGGAAACAGATACAAATTCAGTACATATTTCGAATCTTGAGTGTGTATAATGGTACCATTAACCGGAGATGTAAGAATGTCACAGATAAAAACTTATTTTATTGACTAATTATTGCTGAACTTAATTGTCGTCCTTTGACATTGCCAAACAAAAAAAGAGAACAAATTTTCTGGAAATATTTTCACAAAATTGTGTTTTAGGGCAACCATCAATTAATCAGTGCTAAGAGTTCAAATTTGACTGACAACAATTTACTGTTTAAAGTTCAATTGGAAATGTTTGTAAGCTTCTCAAGGCCCCACTGTTCCAACTGATCTACATTGCAGACATAAGGTTATATAAAACACAGGAATAAATAATACGGCCTTCAACAATAAGCAATACAACATACAATGAATAACAGTTGCTTACCTCTTGGTCCAACGTGGTATTTCTAATTAAAAGACTCCAATTATTTAAATAAAATGGTTCATACTTGGAAAAAGACGTTTTATTTAAAATCATACACAAAAACCCAAATAATTAACAACAAATCTGAATAGTTTTTTTCTGTCACGACCAACAAAAATCGTCTGCTTTAATAAACATTGATCCCTACTCTGCCCTCCTTAATGAGTATTTAGACCCATTATACTTGGAAGATGACTATGAAATCCCACAATTTGATGTTCAATATGACACCACCATCGATTAATTACTACACCTTCAAACCAATTTAATCCCCCTCATCAGATAAAACAAATTAAAATACAGAAAATGAGGTTGATAGGGGTGAAATTGAAACCCAGCTACAAACATAAGAAAAACAAAAAATACCACAAATACCAGATTTTGAATTCCTTGATGAGAGCTTTGACACCCAAATTTCAACCATACCAAATTGTGATTTTGAAAGTGTGTTGAGCACTATATCAGTAGAAAATTTAAACCAACTAGCTGAACATAATGAAAAATTTAACAACATATTGCTTGTTAAGTACTACCGTATAGCGGGTTATTTTCGCGGGTGTAAAATTTCGCGATTTAGGGGCAACAGAGTATACGAACAATTTTGGCGGGTTTTATTTTGGTGGAATCTCAAATCCCAATTAAATATTTTGGCGGATACTGAAATTGTTGCAGTTAAAATGTTTTAAAACTTGTCAAACAAGTGTCTATTGTTATGGTAAAATGATTTGTTTTTACCTAAATGACGTCTTATTTATTGATTATATTCTGATACAGTTAATCAATAGAATACCGATGACTTAGATATTTGTTACAGGTATTCAAACGTCTTGTAAATTTTACGGTTGATAAGTTACAAAATTGACCACCGGACATTTGATGTACTTATCAATTAGGTTACAAGTTATCATGAGTGTTAACAACTCTTGTATAGTTTGACACTTATTAATAAGGGTTATTATCTGATGAGAGTACCTAACACTCTTATTCCAATTGACACTTATTAATAAGGGTATACACACCTGACAGTAATTTTATAAAAAACATGTATGTACACTGCCCTTTGGCATTTATATTGTTAAAACTAACATATACCGCTATTGACTTGCCGACCGGGAAAAAAAGATCGTTCACAAAACGCTTTAGCTATTAGAAAGTACCCAACGTATGCAAAAATTTTCGCGATATTTTTTTCCGCGATTTTCGTTTATCCGCCAAAATAAGCCAAAATAAACACCCCGCGAAAATAACCCGCTATACGGTATTTGGTACATGCACACCATTCATTTTGGACTCCGTGGGTCGCATGTACATAGACAACTAAAGTGGGGAGATATCAAACTTGAAACTGACAGAAACGAAATTCAGTATTTATCATATAATGAGAGACTATCAAAAACCAGAGACGGGTCAAGGACGAAAAATACTAAAGCATATGCTCTTAAATCATGCAGCAATCTTCAAGATGAGAGGAAATTTCATAAAGCAACATATGTAAAGGTCATGATCATTATCTTTCGGTATAAATTTTATTTGCCAGGGTATTTGTACAAGAACAAAGTCATATGTCATCTGTTATAAAATATCAATATAAAAAAGATATTTTATTTGATTGCGAATGAGACAACTACCCACCAAAATATAAATTTTTTAAACTTAAGCAAAATAATATGAATAAAATTGAGAAAGAAATATGAATATCTATTAGACAACAATCTATCAAAAACAAATCACACGAAAAAGACCAGTCGCCACATGCTATTATTTGAAACAAAACAATAGAAATGAGGCATTAACTACCAACATAAACGCTCCGATGAAAAATTGCAATCTATCCAGTAACTGAGAAGTACTACAATCAAAAATAATGCAGCACGTAAACAGTAACCGGGAAGAATTGACAATTGTATAAATTCACCGCAAACTTATGAATACTAATATTAATTGTATAATACTTTATGTACCCACAAGATATTTAGAAAACAAACACAATGATTGAATTTGACACTGCTATTCATTGTTGTATTTCCATTATTGACAGATCTGTGTTATTCATTACAGTTAATCTAAAAATGTTATTATAACAATTATGACACGTACCAAAAATCTGAAATATGCCAGTAATACTATTTATTATATTAATTATATACCAAATATACATGAAATTTTTCTGAAATCTTCAAGTAATTAAGATAGGGTACAACTATGTTCATGCATTAATGCATGTTCATTTATAAATCTTTGTCTCTTTTTCAGTATCGTAGCAATACACCAGCAGAAACCTTCCAACCTGATTCGCCTTTCTATTTAGGAGTCAACAGATACGAAAATGCAAAATATTGGTACAAGAATCAACCCTTGGGTGAATATTCCCTAACAAATCTTATGAAGCAAAACATCAAATGTGGAAAAAATAAGAAACTGACAAATAACTCTGGCAGAAAAACTGCAATTACAAGACTTTTGGATGAACAACATACTGGTCATTATTCTGTGCAAAGGTTTAATAATTATGCAAAGAACAGTTTAAAAACACAAAGGAAAAAATCTTGAGTCGTAATAATCCATGTACTGCAACCAATTGACATAAAACCGCTGTGTTTATTCCAATTGAAAATCAAACTACTACAAATGTACAACAAACTGGACAAAATGTTGCTGATACTTTGGACAGCTCAAAGGACAAAAATTTTCAACGGGCTACCTCAAATATGAAAAATACTAACCAAATGAACTATATTATTATTTCACCCAATTAGTTTTCTCAGTTGAATTGTTACATATTTTTCATGTCGGGGCCTTTTATAGCCGACCACACGGTATGGGTTTTTCTCATTGTTGAAGGCCGTACGGTTACCATAATTGCTTTACATCCACTTCATTTGAACTTTGATGGATAGTTGTCCCATTGGCAATCATACCACATCTCCTTATTTTTATATACCCAACTTTTTCCTGCTGGCACTGTTATTCAAGGCTGAACTTTTAACTTGTATTTTGGACATAACCCGTATGCTGAAAAAGAAAAGGACTCTTCCTATTCCAAACCTATTAAACGCAAGAAAAAATTCGTTATCGAATCTCACAGTGATGATTATCGAATTGTATTATGAGACCCATATCTCTGTTACGAATATAATTGCTTAAAATGAAAATACCGATTTCAAAACTCA